ACCACAACCACAACAATAACCATGGATGCCACAAAAGCAGCTAGACACCACAACCACTGTGCAGATGGCCTGCCAGCCACTTTAGTGCATTAACACAAGGAAAGTCACCAGCAGAGACCAAAGAAAAGAAGAGCATGTTGCTCATTTCAGTGTGATAGAAGCAGAATCTGCTCTATGATAATAGTGGGGGACCTGAACACACCTCTCTCAGAACTGGACAGATCATCTAGGCAACAAATCAACACAGTAACATTACTCTTTCAGAAGGAGAGAAGGAATCTAGGATTATCAGAGGTGGGAGAGGGAGGGAGAGGGGCATAGGGAGAGATTTGATAAGGGGCATAAAGAATAAGTATGATTTATAATAATATATATACTAATAATATTGATTTGATCAACATATGTCAATGTCAAACCCCCAAAATATGTATAGTCAATTATGATTCAATTTTAAAAAGTCTCCAACAGTTATTGTGTTGGAGTCTATCTCTTCCATTAGGTCTAATATTTGCTTGATATATCTTGGTGCTCTGGTGTTGGGTACATTTAGAATTGTTATATACTCTTATTGAATTGATCCCTGTATCATTATATAATGACCTTTTTTTATTTTCCTTGGCTTGATGTCTATTTTATCTGATATAGGTATAGGTATTCCTGCTGATTTTTGGTTTCCATTAGCATGAAATATCTTTTTCTATCCCCTTGCTTTCAGTTGATATGTGTCTTTATAAGTGAAGTAAATTTCTTGTAGGCAGTATATTGCTGGTTCTTGTTTTATAATCCATTCAGCCACTCTGTGTCTTTTAATTGGGGAATTTAATCCATTTACACTTAGAGTTATTATTGATATATAGGGACTTCCTACTGCTATTTTGTTACTTTTTTAATGGTTGTTTTGTAGATCCTTGTTTCATTTTCTCTGGTGTTACTTTCTTTCTTTTTGATACAGTGATTTTCTCTAGTAGCATATTTTGACTTCTTGCTATTTATTTTTAGTATGTCTATTATAGGTTTTTTGCATTATGGTTACCATGAGGCTTACAGAAAACATGTTATAATTTTAACCAATTATTTTAAACTAATAACTTAACTTCAGTTGCTAAGAAAAAAGAAAAAAAAAAGCTGATTTTACACTTTGATGTTATTCTTCCCCCCCCTTGGCATTTTGTTGTTTCAAGTTACATCTTTTAATATTGCATATCTCTTATATGGTTGTTGTATTTTTTATTATCTTATTAGGTTTGTCCTTTAGTCTTCCTCATAAAGATATAAGTGGTTTATTCACCAGCCTCACAATATTGGAGTATTCTGAGTTTGTCTGTGTACTTACCTTATTAGTGATTTTTATACTGTCAAATGTTTTCTTGTTACACTTTAACATCATTTTCCTTCAGACTGAAGAACTCCCTTTAGCATTTTCTTTTAAGGAAGTTCTAGTGTTGAATTCCCTTAGCCTTTGTATGTGTGTGAAATACTTTTTTTCTCCTTCATATTTGAAGGTTAGTTTTGCTGGATACAGAATTCTTGGTTGACAGTCTTTTTACTTCAGCATTTTGAATGTATCATTTCACTTTCTCCTGCCATGAAGGGTTCCTACTGAGAAGTCTGTTGAATGCCATATTGAGGCCCTGTTGAATGTTATGTATTTCTTTACTCTTGATGCTTTCAGTAGTCTTTCTTTGTCTTTGGTGTTAGATAATTTGATTATGATGTGCCTTGGGGTATTTCTCATTGGATTGAATTTGATTGGTGATCTCCAAGCTTTCCGTATCTGGATACTGTCATCTTTCTCAATCCTTGGGAAATTTTCAACCATTATTTTCTTAAATATGCTTTCTAGGTCTCTTCCTTTTTTGTCTGCTTTGGGTATGCCAATTATGTTGAGATTATTTCATTTGAAGGTGTCATATAATTGCTGTATTTCTGTTAATTTTTTTCTTATTCCTTTTTCTTTTTGTTCCTATGATTGGGTAATTTCGTGTGTTCTGTCTTTTAGCTCACTGATTCTTTCCTCTGTTTGATCAAGTCTTCTGTTGGAGGTTTCTACTGAGTTTTTCAGTTCAGGTAATATATTCTTTATATCTAGAATTTCTATTTGGGGTTTTAAAATTGATTCTATTCCTTTGTCAAGCTTCTTGTTCTGTTCCGGGATTGTTTCCCAAATATCATTTAGTTTTCTATCTGTATTTTTTTGTGAATTCCTAAACATCTGTAAGAGGATTATTCTTAATTTCCTAAATGTGCTGATCTTTTGGGTCTATTGCTAGAGCTTTATTGGTTTCTTTGTGTGGTGTTCTATTTCTTTTTTTTTCTTGATTTTTGTTTCTTTACACTGATGTCTGTTCATTTGAAGAGATGACTATCTCTTCCAGGTTTCGTAGATGTTCTTTGGTGGTATTAGACTTTTACTGAAATTTTACAGAATTTTGTCTCTGGCCTGTGGTTTTTTGTTCCATTCTGTAGTGGATTAATAACAATCTCCACCACTTAAACACTGCATTGGAACTAATTTTCTGTGTTGCCATTAATTCTCAGGGAGGGGAAGACTTACTGCAGGGACCAGAACTTGAATGCTATGCCTCAGATAAATTGCTGCATTGTTGTTTCTCTATCTGCGGGAAAATTTTTGAGGACTGCATTTTAAATTTTGGCCTTTTAGTCACTTCTGGGTCATGTAGGGAGGTAACTGGGCTGTGTGCAAAATCTGGTCCAGGGCTGACTCTTACCTGTATACTATGCCCCTGCAGTTGCATTGCACCAACAGGTCACCACTGTGTGGCACCATTCTGACTGGGAGGCAGATCTGCTGCCAACATTGTGTCTTGATGCACCCCTGGTGAATCAGCACCCCCAGCACTCCAAATGGTTCCACATGCGTTCCCTTTAAAGACTCATAGGCCTCTGGGAAAATCAGGTACACACCTCCTACTCTCTCCTCTCACCTCTGAGATTGCAGGTCCAGTGGCTTTCTCCAAGTATAGTGCTATATGTTGGTCCTGAAGGTGGGGGATGAGGTGCTCTAAAGTGATTTCTTCCTCCTGTTGGCTGCTGCCTCTCCCTCCTATGTAGGCACAGGGGAACCTTGTGAGTAGCTACACTGGCCTGGGAATGGGATTCAGTGCTCTGAAGTGATATTTATATATAGTCAGTGGCCACAGCACACTTTATCCCTGCAGGCTCCAAGTAGCTTCACACAAAAAGCTCTGGGGTGGCTTTGTCATTTCCAGGAAGCTGCTTCATGAGCTGTGCCACACCAGCCCTCCTCCTGCCTCTGTGGTCTTCTACATCTTTGCAGACTAAACCGATGTCTCCTCCTCCTCCCCCTTAATTCCAGTGGTTTCAGGATGGCAATTTTGTGTCTTAATTTTGTAAGTTGATCTCTTCTAGAGGGGAGTGATACCAGGAATCATCCAGTCCACCATCATTCTGACCCAGAGAATTAGTTTTCTCTTGCTGTGTAATAAATACCACATATGTATCAGCTTAAAACAATATAAATTTATTATCTCATAGTTTTTGTAGGTCAGTAGTCCAGGAATGGCTTAGTGGGATCCTCTGTCCATGTTTTCACAAGCCTCCCATCAGTGTGTCAGCTGCGCTAAAGTTCTCAACTTGAGCTCAGATTTCTCTTCCACGTTTATTTAGGTTTTTGAAAAAATTAAATTTCTTCTAGCTGTAGGACCAAGACCCCTGTTTTATTGCCAGGTGTTGGCCAGGGACAACTCTTAGCTCCTTGAGGCTGTCCATAATTCCTTGCCACATGGTCCCCATAGGCAGTTTACAACATTGATGTTTACTTTCTTTTGGACTAATAGTGGCATGTCTCTCCAACTTCTTCCACTGTGTCAAGCCAGAGAAAACTTTTTGTTGTATAAAGGCTCACCTGACTAGGTCATTGTCATTCAAAATAATCTATGTTTTTCTATACTTCATAACATAATCATGGGAGTAATTTCTCATTATATTCACAAGTTCTACCCACACTCAATATAAGGGGATTATACAACGATGAAGGTCATTGTTAGAATTCTTCCCACAACATCTACTACACAATTTTAGGTTGCTAGGTTTTTATCCAAGGAACTTTAAAGGTTTTATCCCTTTTTCTTCTGGCATCTGTTGTTTAGATGAGAAGCCTGCTGTCATTCTAATTGTCCATTATATGTACTCTGCCTTTCCTCTTTAGCTTATTCCAACTTTTTGCTTTCTCTTTTATGCAGTTTGCCATAATGTGGTTGGGTATGGTTTGGGTAGTGTGTTTTTTTTTGGGGGGGGGAGGCTGGCCAGTATGGGGATCTGAACCCTTGACCTTGGTGTTACAAGGCTGTGTTATAACCAGCTCGGCTAATTGGCCAAACTGGGTGTGGATTTGGAGTTGCTTATCCCATGGAACTTTATGTAGTATTTTATGCTGAAGACTCATGACTGTTTCAATTTTGAAACCCCCACAGCTGTCCTCTCTCAAATAATTCCTGTAGTGGATTCCATTAGCTCATTTTGAAATTCCTTTTAGACATTCTTTTTTCTACAGTGCAGAACTTTTTTATATTATATATCTTTTAATCATTCTATGCTGCATTATGGGGACATTTTTCTTAGATTAATCTTCAGTTTACTGCTTTTTGAGAAAAATCTGTAAAATCTGCTATACAATCCTTTGAATCCTTTGAGTTTTTAATTATGTTGACTATATTTTTATTTTAGACATTCTGTCTGCTTCCTTTTACAAATTTATTGTTTATTTATGGTTCATCTTTTTACATTTAAAATATTATATTTGGGAGGAAAAGCAAGAGGGAGAAGGATGTTGACAGAATAAGGAGGAAGGAGAGAAAATGGCATCCAAAGATTACGGTACCTACAGCCAAGCTGCGGCCCAGTAGGGCTACTGTGCTTACACCACCCAACCCATGCAAAGATATGCACAGACCACCCAAGCATATAGGCAACAAAGCTATGGAGCCTATGGACAGCCCACTGAATTCTGCTATACCCAGGCTCAGACCACTGTGACCTGTGGGCAGACCACTTATGCAACTTCTTATGGACAGCTTCCCACTGGTTATACTACTCCAACTGCCCCCCAGATGTACAGCCAGCCTGTCCAGGGGTGTGGCCCTGGTGCTTATTATACCACCACTGTTATAGTCACCACCACCCGAGCCTCCTATGCAGCTCAGTCTGCATATAGCACTCAGCCTGCTTACCCAGCCTATGGGCAGCAGCCAATAGCCACCACACCTGCAATGCTGCAGGATGGTAACAAGCCCGCTGAGACTAGTCAACCTCAGACTAGCACAGTGGGTTACAACCAGTCCAGCCTAGGATACAGACAGAGTAACTACATTTATTCCCAGGTACCTGAGAGATAAACCTCAGACTAGCACAGTGGGTTACAACCAGTCCAGCCTAGGATACAGACAGAGTAACTACAGTTATCCCCAGGTACCTGAGAGATACCCCATGTAGCCAGTCACTACACCTCCATCCTATCCTCCTACCAGCTATTCCTCTACACAGCTGACTAGTTATGATCGGAGCAGTTACTCTCAGCAGAACATCTATGGGCAACCGAGCAGGTATGGACAGCAGAGAGGCTGTGGTCAATAGGCAGTTATGGGCAGCAGCCTCCTGCTAGTTACCCTCCCCAAACTGGATCCTACAGCCAGGCTCGAAGTCAATATAGCCAGCAGCGCAACAGGTACAGGCAGCAGAGTTTATTCTGACAGGATCACCCCAGTAGCATGGGTGTTTATGGGCAGGAATCTGGAGGATTTTTTGTAGTTACCCTCCCCAAACTGGATCCTACAGCCAGGCTCGAAGTCAATATAGCCAGCAGCGCAGCAGGTACAGGCAGCAGAGTTTATTCTGACAGGATCACCCCAGTAGCATGGGTGTTTTATGGGCAGGAATCTGGAGGATTTTTTTGATCAGGAGAGAACTGGAGCATGAGTGGGCCTGATAACCAGGGCTGGGGGAGAGGGGAATTTGATCACGGAGGCATGAGCAGAGGTGGGTAGGGAGGAGAATGCGGTGGAATGGGCAGCACTGGAGAGAGAGGTGGCTTCAGTAAGTCAGGCCCAGGGCTGGGGGAGAGGGGAATTTGATCACGGAGGCATGAGCAGAGGTGGGTAGGGAGGAGGATGCGGTGGAATGGGCAGCACTGGAGAGAGAGGTGGCTTCAGTAAGTCAGGTGGACTCATGGATGAAGGACCAGATCTTGATTTAGGCCCACCTGTAGATCTGGATGAAGATTCTGACAACAGTGCAATTTATGTGCAAGGATTAAATGACAGTGTGACTCTAGATGATCTGGAAGACTTCTTTAAGCAATGTGAGGTTGTTAAGATGAACAAGAGAACTGGGCAACCCATGATCCACATCTACCTGGACAAGGAAACGGGAAAGCCCGAAGGTAATGTCACAGTGTTCTATGAAGACCCACTGACTGCAAGGCTGCTGTGGAGTGGTTTGATGGGAAAGATTTTCAAGGGAGCAAAATTAAAGTCTTTCTTGCTTGGAAGAAGCCTCCAATGAACAGCACATGGTGTGGTATGCCACCCTGTGAGGGCAGAAGGATGCCACCACCTCTCAGTGGAAGTACAGGGGGCCCAGGAGACCCTGGGGGACTCATGGGTCGCATGAGAGGCCATGGAGGACACAGAGGAAGCTTTCCCCCAAGAGGGCCCTGGGATTCATGAGGGAAAACCTCTGGAGGAGGAAATGCTCAGCACTGAGCTGGCAGTGTCCCAATCCGGATTATGGAAATCACCTGGAGAACAGAATGCAACCAGTGTAAGGCCCTGAAGCCTCAAGGCTTCCTCCCACCACCCTTCCCATCCCTAGGTGGTGGAAATGCTCAGCACTGAGCTGGCAGTGTCCCAATCCGGATTATGGAAATCACCTGGAGAACATAATGCAACCAGTGTAAGGCCCTGAAGCCTGAAGGCTTCCTCCCACCACCCTTCCCATCCCTAGGTGGTGGTCATGGCAGGGGAGGCCCTGGTGGCATGTGGGGAGGAAGAGGTGGCCTCATGGTTCAGAGGTGGCCATGGGAGAGACAGAGGTGGCTTCCATGGTCGCTGGGGCATGGACTGAGGTGGCTTTGGTAGAAGATGAGGTGGCCCTGGGGCCCCCCTGGACCTTTGATGAAACAGATGGGAAGAAGAAGAGGCAGACACGGAGGACCTGGAAAAATGGATAAAGGTGAGCACCCTCAGAAACGCAGAGACTGGCCCTCCTAGACACAGAGACCCTGCAGAGCTACAGTGACTACCAGATTTATTTTTTAAACCAGAAAATATTTAAAATTTTTATTTCCATATTTATAATGTTGTCAACAACATTATGATTATTCCTTGTCTGTACTTTAGTATTTTTCACCATTTGTGAAGAAACATTAAAACAAGTTAAATGGCAAAAAAATAATAAAAAATAAAATAAAATAAAATTTTATATATTGTTATCTTTTTAATAATTTAAAATCTTTTAATTTGAAGAAAATATTCTATTGTCACAAGTTCTGAATTATCACAAGATTGTAATCCTTTTGCTTGATCTGTAAAAGACTCAAGATTAGTTTGTTTTAAATTTGATTGCAGATTTGTTCTAAGCAGGGTATGTGCTTCCCTGCTCTCCTCCTTTTGCTATTAATGTGTAGTCTGGGATATGAAAATTACCCTTCATTGTACATTTGTTTTGATAAGTGTTCTACTGGTATCACTTATCCTTCACAAAATTTTTGTTAATTTATTGGTATGTTGTTTCTCTATAACATGTGGCAGTGTAATTAGGATCTCAAACCTGAAACACTGGAATATAGTACTGGAATTTTGGATTTTCATGGAAAGCATTTTTCCTTACTCAGTCTGGGTCAATGATAAGCTTTCTGGTCATATCCTTGTTTTTTTGATTTTTACTCTCATGAATAGAGAATCCAGTGCTTCAAGGGTTCTGGCCATATACTTACTCCTATATACGTATCTCCTGTCCCTAGGTAAGCGTTAATATTTTAGTTCACAGCCATACCCAGGTTGTTTTAATTTGCAATTCTTTACTGATGTATGATGTTGAGCATCTTTTCATGTGTGCTGTGGATTGAATATCCCTCCCAAAACTCATCGAAGCTTGACTCCATTGTAACAGTGCTAAGAGGGTGGGAAATCTGACTAAAGTATTTGAAAGATGGGGCCTTTAAAAGATGATTAGATTATGAGGACTGTGTCCTTGTGAATGAATTGGTCCATTCATGGAGTAATGGGTGTGGTTCTGGTGATGTTATAAGAAGGGCAAGTGGGAAGGTTAGCTCACTCTTGCCCATGCCATTTTCTCTCACGATGTGATACCCTAAGTTGTTGCAGAGTCACCACCCAGAAGAAGGTCCTCACCAGATGTGATGCCTGGATTTTATACTTTCCAGCCTCCAAAGATGTAAGAAATAAATTTCATTCCTTTATAAAGTACCCAGTTTCAGGTAATCTGTTATTAGCAACAGAAACAAACTGATATATTTATTTGCCATCCATATATCTTCTTTGGTGAGGTCCGCTCAGATCTCTTGCTCATTTAAAAATTGAGTTGTTTGTTTTCTTATTGTTGAGTTCTAAAAGTTATTTGTATATTTTGGATACAGGTTTAGATATGTGTTTTGCATATATTTTCTCCCAGACCATGGCTTGTATTTTCATTCATTTAACAGTGTCTTCCATTGAGCAGAAGTTTTAAATTTTAATAAAGTCTAATGTCAACTTTTTTCTTTCATGGCTCATGCCTTTGGTACCTAAAAACTCATTGCCAAACCCAGGGTCACTTAGATTTTTTCCTGTGCTATCTTTTAGAAGTTTTATAGTTTTGTGTTTTACATTTGGGTGTGTTATTCATTTTGAGTTAATTATTGTGAAAGGTGTAAGATCTGCATCTAGATGATGATGATGATGATGATAATGACTGCATATAGATGTCCAGTTGTTCTAACACCATCTGTCAAAAAAACTATTCTTCATCTTGTTGCCTTTATTCCTTTATCAAAGATCAGTTGATTGTATTTGTGTAGGTCTATTTCTGGGCTCTGTATTCTGTTTTACTGATCTGTTTGCCTATTCTTTTGCCAATACCATATTATCTTGATTTCTAGTTTAATTCCAGTGTGGTCTGAGAGCATACTTCGGATAAGTTCTAGTCTTTCAAATTTGTTAATGTGTGCTTTATGGCCCAGGATGTGGTTTATCTTAGTGAATATTCCATGTAAGCTTGAGAAAAGTGTACGTTATGCTATTTTTGGTTGAAATATTCTACAAATGTTAATTAGTTGAGAACATAAACTTCATGTTAAAAAATTAACTTCTTGTTTTAGAACAAATTTAGATTTACAGAATTATTGCAAAGGTGGTACGCAGAGTTCCTATAATCTCAACACCCATTTTCCCCTATTATTAACATTATGAGTATGATACATTTGCCACAATTAATGAACTGTTATTGGTATGTTATTTTTAACGAGAGTCAATACATTGTTTAGATTTCCTCAGTTTTCTCGTAATGTCTTTTTCCCATTCCAGAATCTAGTCCAGGATAGTACATTACACTTAATAGTCAAGTCTTGTTAGGCTCCTCTGAGTTGTAACAGTTTCTCAGACTTTCCTTTTTTGTTGATGACCTTGACAGTTTTGATGATGACTGTTCAGGTGTTTTGTAGGGTATCCCTCAGCTGGTAATTGTCTGATGTTTTTCTCATGATTAGACTGGCAGAATGTGTTTTGGGACTACACAGATAAAGTGCCATTTCATCACATCAGAGCAAGAGTACTATGTTACTATCAGTGTAACTCACTGTTGATACTAATCTTGATCACCTGACTTCATGCAGTGTTTCTCAGGTTTCTCTACTGTAAAGTTCCTCTTTTTCCCCTTCCTGTCTATACTTACCTTATGGAAGAAATTCACCATATGCAACTCACACTTTAGGAGTGGGGAGTTATACCTGACTGCCATTCTTACTGAGCTCCATCCTTACTAACCTCCATCCTTACTGATATTCTGCCTGCTCGATCTATCAATTACTGACAGGAAGGTTTGAAGTCTCAACTATAATTGTAGATTTGTCTATTACTTCTTTCTGTTCTGTCAGTTTTTGCCTCATGTCATATATTCTTGGAGGATTGACCCTTTTATTATTATGCAATGCCCTTCTTCATTCCTAATAAATTTTCTTTGTTCTGAAATCATCTTTGTCTAACATTAATATGCTACTCAGGCTTTCTTTGGATTCATGTTAATATGGTATATTTTTCTCCATCTCTTTACTTTTAACATATCAGAGTTTCTATATTTAAAGTGGGTTTCTTGTAGACAACATATAATTGGGTATTTTTTAATCCACTCTGACAATCTCTGCTTTTTAAATGGTGTATCTAGATCATTCACATTTAAAGTTGTTATTGATATATTTGGCTTACTATCACCTAGGTTGGTAACTTTTCTACGTATTGCATTTTCTATAATTCCATTTTATCTCCTGCCTTATAATTCTTTTTAAATAAGCTTTTAGTGGCTGTTGGAGTTTATAATTCACCTTCAAAACCACTGTTATGCTTCAAGAGTACTACAGATACTTTGTGTCAGAGGATCCCCAATTCCTGTCTCCTATCCCTCGTGACATTGCCATCATTCATTTCACTTATTCATAGGCTATAATCACCCACTACATCATTACCATTATTATTATTTTTAAAACAACCATCTTTCAGATCAATAAAGAATAATAAAAATAAAAGATTTTATTTTATCTTCATTTCTTTCTTCCATTACATTCTTTATTTATGAAGATCTGAGTTTCTGGCCTACATCATTTTCATCTGGCCTGAGAAAAATTTTTGACATTGCTTGCTAGGAAGATCTAATGGCACACACAAAGAAATATAGATGTGCAGGTGGATTTGGCAGTGACTATCGAAAAAGTAATGAGGAAAATTACAGTGAACTTCTTAGGTGTTTGTATTTCTGTGTTTTTTTTTTCCCCCATTTGGTGGCTTTTGTAAAATGTATGCATTGACATTGTGATGCAAAATTTTTTTTCCAATAAAATCTAGAAATTACAACAACTTCATCAGTTGGGAGTCTATTGAGCAATTAATAGGCCACTGTACAACAGACGTATTACCACGAGATCAGTGCCATCCATGCCTTTAAGCCAATGAATCTGTTACTCAGTGTTTGAGTTTTATGAAGTCCACTGCTGCCCCGTCTTCTTATTCTTCCAGTAAGCAATTTTGAGCACTTGTGCTCTAGGTAAATCCCTAATCTTGTATATTTTTTTTTTTGTGTGTGTGTGATATATTTATTAAGTTATAACTCACATACCATACAGTTCACCCATTGAAAGTGTACAATTCAATGGTTTTTAGTATATTCACAGAATTGTGTAAACATTGTCCACAACAGATTTTTAAAAATTATGTCACCTGAAACACATACCTTGTATCCCTTAGCCATCACCCTTCCCCGTATCTCTCATCCCTCTAGACCTGGGCAGCCACTAATCTGCTTTCTTTCTCAATAGAATTGTCTATTCTGGACATTTCATATAAGTGGAATCATACAATATGAGGTCCTTTGTGACTGGCTTCTTTCACTTAGAATAGTGTTTTCAAGCTTCATACATGCTGTAGTATGAATTAATACTCCATTCCTTTTATTACTGAAAAAATATTTTATTGTATGGAATGGATCTATTTATCCATTCATCACTTGATACACATTTGGGTTGTTTCCTTTTTTTGGCTATTGTGAATAACAATGCTATGAACATTTGTGTACAAGTTTTTGTGTAAACAATGTTTTTATTTCTCTTGGGCATATACCTAGGAATGAAATTGCTGGATCATATTGTAATTCTATGTTTAATCTTTTGAGGAACTTCCAGAGTGTTTTCCAAAATGACTGAACCATATTGCATTCCCACCAGAAGTGTACAAGGGTTCCAATTTCTCCACATCCTTGCCAACCTTTGTTATTATCTCTTTTGTTTATAGTCATCCTAGCAGGTGTAAAGGGATATCTCATTGTGGCTTGATTTTCATTTCCCTGATAACTGATGATTTTGAGCCTCTTTTCATGTGCTTATTGGCCATTTGTATATCTTCTTTGGAGAAATATCTATTTAGATCCTTTGCCCATTTTAAATTGGTTTATTTGTCTTTTTATTGTTGAGCTGTAAGAGTATATTCTAGTACATGTACTTTATTAGATATATGATTTGCAAAAATATTCTCATTTAATGTGTTGTCTTTTCACATTTTTGATAGTGACTTTTGAAGCACAAAAGTTTTGAATTCTGATGAGGTCCAGTTTACCTATTTTTATTTTTGTTGCTTTTGCTTTTGGTGTCATCACCAAATTCAAGGCCATAAAGTTTTATATCTACGTTTTTTCCTGTGTTTTATAGTTTTAGCTCTTACATTTAAGTCCTTGATTTATTTTGAATTAATTTTTATATATAGTGTGAGGTAGCAGTCCAACTTCATTCTTTTGCATGTGGATATCTAGTTGTTATGTCATCATTTGTTGAAAAGATGATTCTTTCCCCATTGTATTATTTGGGAACCTTTGTTGAAATCAATTGACCAGTAAGTGTTGGAATTTATTTCTGGATTCTCGATTCTATTCTATTGATATGTTTGTTTGTCCTTATGCCAGTACCATACTCCCTTGATTACTGTAGCTTTGAGGTAAGTTTTGAAATCAAAAAGTGTTAGTTCTCAAACTTTGTTCTTTTTTTTTTTTTTCAAGAATGTTTTGGCTGTTATGCATATTTTTCATTTCCATAAGAATTTTTGGATCTGTCTGTCAGTTTCTGCAAGGAAGTCAACTTGTTTTTGACAGAGGATTCTTAGAATCTCCAGATCAATTTGTGGAATATTGCCATCTTAACAGTATGAAGTGTTCTGACCTATGAACATGGATTTTTTTCCCATTCATCTGGATTGTTAATTTCTTTCATCAATGTTTTACAGCTTTCAGAGTGTACATTTTGTACTTCTTTTGTTAAATTTCCCCCTAATATTTTATTCTTTTTGATGCTATTTTAAATAAAATTGCTTTCTTATTTCATTTTTGATTGCTTCATTGCAAGTGTATAAAAATATAATTGCTTGATTTTTATTCATGATCTTCTATTCTTGCTGACATCATTTATTAGTTTTGGTAGTTTTTTAGTGTATTCCTTAGGATTTTCTATGTACAAGTTTATATCATCTGCAAATAGAGATAGTTTTAATATTCTTTTTCAGTCTGAATGAGTTTGATTTCATTTTCTTGTCTAACTGCCCTGGCTACAACCTCCAGTAGAATGTTATATAGAAGTGGTGAGAGCAGACAACAATAGCTTGTTCTTTTTTTTTTTGACTTTTTTGTCTTTTTTTTCCGTGTCCGGCAACGGATCGCAACCCTCAGTGTTGCCCCCGCACCGGACCGGGGACCGGCAACGGGATCGCAACCCTCGGCGTTGCTCCCACGCCTCGCTCAGCCAGTGAGCGGGAACCGGTCTGTATGTGGGATCCGAACCCTC